GCTTAGTAGTAGAGGGTTTCAGCCACAGTGCCATCACAATATTATTCTAAATTTGATCATTTGTTTTGTTTCTTTCAATGCTGTGGATGGAACATAGGCCTTTGTATATGGTAGGAAAAGCTCTATCACTGAGCTAAAACTCTGGCATTCAAACTTCTGTCTGATTCCAAATCTCAGTTTCTTTGTATATGTTAAGGAAAGAGCAAAAATAAAGAAATGAGTGAGAGAAAGAAGAGGAATGAGAAATGAAATTTAATGAAGAAATTGGTAATGCCAGTAATTTCTCCTCAGGGGTTAGGATTAAAGTGGGTTTATGTTTTAAATCTTAAATCAGGGTAAGGAAATTGTGCTAGGATTCAAAAGACCAGAAGTGTTTTGTGGGTTGTTTTTCTTGTGTGTTCCTTTTTTCTTCCCTGGAAGTGCTGGGGATAGAACCTAGGGCTTTGAACATGCTAAGCGGTTGGTTTACCAACTGAGCCATACCCAGGGTCTGTTTTTTTCAAAAACACTTTTGAGCTACAGCTCATCTGCAACCTTCAGAAAACCTGAGCCTCAATCTTATCTCTGCTTGTGATTTGTGAATCTTGAGCAAGTCATTTTCCTCCTTGTGTCTAGGTTCCCTAAATTTCAAGTGAAAATTATCAGATTTGCATGGTCAGTGACAATTAGTGAGAAAAGAAGCCAGGAATTTGAAAGAGATCAAGGAGCAGTATATGGCAGGGTTTAGAGGAGGAATGTAACCTCAAGAGTAAAATAAAATAAACTGGCATGGTTGTTCCAATAGAGAAGATGGTTCCCTTTATCCTTTATTTTCATATAAATACCAGGAATATATATATGATTGAAGAAGGAAATAGAATATTCCCTAGGTCTCCTTATTAAGCTGAAATTCTTGTCAGGGAATTTTGAACTTAACAAACAAAACATTTGAGGTTACCAAATGTGTATGAAATGGCAAGGCAGCTTTAGTGTGAGGTCTGCAGCTGCCAGAGGCAGAAAGACAAGACATGATTTCTGGCTCATGGCTAAGTAGCTGGAGCTTTAAAAGGCCGTGTTAAACTTTGCTTGGCTGTCCCAACAACTCTCAATTAAGACTTCAAGCAATCAATCAGTCAGTCAGTCAACACAGATTTGTTGAGTACTTCACAGAGTGCCTACCCCTAAACTACAGAATTCAAGAGATTACCACCATAGTAGACCTGATGTTTGGATTCCCAGAGATGACAAGTTTACTGAAATTTATTTATGTATTATTCCCTGGACATCCATATTTAATGTCTGTCCAGGGAACAAAATGCTTTGGGTGCTGAGACCCTGACATAAAATCTAACATTTGTTCATGGGTCAATGTTGGGAGCTTTGTGTGAAAAGGATTTACTGAAACTGAGGGGTACATGATCCGTAGGTAGTCTTGGGAGGTAGAAGAGAATTGGTTTTAGTTGGACAAGGAATGACTAAGACCAAGCAGAAATAGCACACGCCTTTAATCCCAGCACTCGGGAGGCAGAGGCAGGCAGATCTCTGTGAGTTCGAGGCCAGCCTGGTCTCCAGAGCGAGTGCCAGGATAGGCTCCAAAGCTACACAAAGAAACCCTGTCTCGGAAAAAAAAAAAAAAAAAAAAAAAAAAACAAGCATTCAGTATACTACCAGTCATAGCTGCTGAGAGACCTAAACTGAATGGGCAGTTTGAAACTGTGTGGCAATGTGCTGACTTACATGTTGTCAAGTTACCAGAGGTTAGTGATACTGTATACTACTGAAGAAAAGAAGCGGAAGTGGTAGGAATCAGAGGTAATGTCTATATTTCAAATGTACAAGATGGGGTTTGGCAAGGGGGAACCAGTTTATAGTTTACTTTTGGGTCTTCTGATACTGTTTATGGGTCTGTCAAGCTAGGTAGCCTAAAAGGCAGGTGGGGACAAAGAGAAAGGGGTTTGTTTATATTTGTTTACTTAGGGGTCTAATCAGTTAAAATAACAGGTCATTCTGTTAGGAATACTATGGGCAACACCCAATTTACTAATCTATTGATTGTTGTGTAAATTAGTTAATTGCCAGACAGTCTTATGCCCCAAAGACATGGGAAACTGGTCTGCTTTGTGATTTAATGAGCTTCCCTAGCTTTGTCTTGTTATCCTCTCCAATCTGCAGGATGCCTAGTCAGTGGATGTGTTGCTAACTGGAGTTCTTTTTATATAAGTAGAATATTCAAGGGATGAGAAAGTGGGGGGGGGGAATCAAGCAAAAAATAGAAGAAACTGTCAAAATGCCAAACCTCAGATGGACATGATAGAACGGATTGAGGCTGTTAAATCCATCAGTTTATTTGACCAAGATGTTTAAAGATTGTTTTCTGTATATGTAAAACAAAATGTGGCTTGGTGAGACAAACCTCAAACCACCAGAGTTTCAAGTTTCTGTGCCATTTTCATTGTTAGAAGTATTATTCTCTGCCTGGCAAGGTATTATTAATCTGTGAATATCATTGTTTATGTTTCCACAATAGTAAGGGTTCTTAAATATGACCTTTAAAAATGTTGTTAAACTTTTATGTGTGATTTCATTGTCTTAAGTGGTATCCTTACCACCCTGAAAATGGAGAGGAGATAGGGATTTATTTCATAACCTCTTTTGCCGTAAATCTGGCTAGAAAACATTGTTTTGTCATTGAAACGTTTACAAATTTGGAGTGGTTAACTATAGCACTAATGTACTTTATGGACATTCCTTAATCGAATGCTTTGGCAAGATTCCATTTGTGTGCCAATTTGAGGACCAGTCTGTCTCTTCTGCTTCCCATACTTCATGAACTGACTATCTAGAGCATTACTACTTTTGTGCAACATCATCTGCTTTTCTGCATCTTAAGAAACTAAATTCAGGGCTTTGTTAAGGATGCTTGTACTATGGAAATTGGTCTAAATCCATATCCCATCTCATTGTAGATGGAACAACACTGCTGGCTATAAGGTTAATGGGCATGTAGCTTCTTTAATTTGCCTCTTCTCTGACCAGGTGAAATAACTTGTAATATATATTTAAAATCAATTCAGAGACCTAGCTGCTGGGAGACTGTTTTGTGGAAAAGATTGCTTGAGTGCTTAGCTTTTACAAGAGCTAGCTTTCTAACTGCTTTACTGTGTGAGCTGGGATGGGAGGGAAACTTGCCTCCTCTGTGTGTAAAGGGCTCAATATGTAATTTTCGTGTTTTCTCCATGCCCTCAGCTTGAGAAATGTGCAGTGTTCTGAAACATGCTTAGGCCCTGTATGTACTGTATCTGCTTAAGGAAGGTTTGGCTTAGTCCTTTTCAGCTGCAATAGGGTTTGAGTTACAGACTTTTCCCTTTCCAGCACCTAATAAAATCCAAAGGAATAAAGGACCAGGGGGAGTTAATTTCCACTGCTAAGACCCAGGTAAGGTGCTTCTATCTCTCATTTCCTAGATTGGAGCCCTAATTTAAGGCTGAAGTTTAGGTGAAGCCTGTAAGTGATAGTGATCTGGAACAGGCCCCTGACAATCAAGTTTTGCCCTATGCCGGCTCTTCTCTTCCCCTTTTCTTTTCCTCTCTCCTTTCTTCTTCTCTCTATCCTTTTCCTCCTGTTCTGTTGAAATCTTAGAGGAATCTGGGATTCTAGTGACCAGGTCAACTGTTAACTATTGCAAAAGAGGAAATGGTACATCATTCTCCCTTCAATCTAAACTGGGAGGGTCACAGAAGCTTCTCTTACCCCACCCCACTGACCCACCTCAGTACAGAATGAGGAGTTTTAATCTGAATAAAAACCATTATTGGTATCACTCCCAACTCAAAAAAGATGCATGGTAATGAGCTCTGAGATGGTGAGCTCAGTCAGGAAAAGGCAACCTTGAAACAAGATCTCAGAAAACCTGGAATAGGCAGAATGGAGCCTCCTTCTGGAAGAACGACTACAATAGTGTAGTTGCCTCCTTAAATGGTTTTCCACCATTTGATCATTGTCACCCACTTGAAATTATTAAATAGTTTCTCATTGCCTGTAGAATAGAGTCCAAATTACTTTCACCAGGTATTAGAGAACTTTCTCCCTTTGACTCTGGTCTTACGTTTTATTTCTGGTATTCCCACTAGGTTCCAGATTTTCAGGCAGAATGGAATCCTCTCTGTTCTTAAGCTCCTCACTGGGAAATTCTGCCCTTTGTCATCCCCATCCTGATACCTCTCCCAGTGGTCATGCTTTGCACCGCAGTTCGCTGTTTCCTCACTTCTTTACCTTCCTCTTTTGGGTCTAACCACTGCAAAGTACCAGCTCTCTGGCTCCAGGGCATCATCATCCCAGACTGCTTCTGGTGGAAATGACCAACTTCCCCTAGAAGCTGTGGTGAACCTCAAGTCCACATGTTAGCTACAAATGGAGGGAAGACATGAAAATAATGGTGGTGAGGGAAGTTAAGAAGGGACCCCTCCTGTGCAACTTGAGATGTGAAGAGGGCTGTCAGTAGTGGTGGATGGGGGTGTCTCCAGGCGGCCTGGCTTGTATATGCAAGCTGTGGTCCCCAGGCTGGCATTGGGGAGTGATAATTATAGAGTTCATCATGCTGTTGGGAAGCGTTGCTTCGAGACTCATAGCATAACAGCCATTCCACTTGTTACTCTGTGTTCAGAGTGGGTATAGTGATTTTTGTGCTTGATTCAAGTACTTCATTCCTTCAGCTGAAATGTGATGACTTTAAATCAGTGTGCGTGTGTGTGTGTGCGTGCGTGTGTGCGTGTATTTTCACTTTTGCTTAAACAAGCCCTAACGTGTTCTATATCACTGGCCTTGGTTGTGAGTCACTGTCTGGTATTTATACATAATGCCTTAAGTGTCTTTGTTATTTGACCATGACATTCCTTTTCTCACTGTTGCACTCAAACCTGAGAATACCAAGAAAGGAAAGAAAGAGCTGAGGTTTTATGTCATTGGTGCTTGTCTGTATGACGGCCAGGTTATCTTAGGGCACTAGGGGGACAGGTTAAGGATCAGAGCTTTAAAAATCACAGGGACAGCACAGCAACAGTGTTAGTGCTTAGGTTGCTACTGACCAGTCTACTGCTATAGAGTGTGTTATACTGCACGGACTTTCAGAACTGGACTGTGAAGGGACCCCAGGAGGTATGTGTCCTTATCAGAATCCCTTGTAAATATGAAAGAAGTACAAATAATTAGAACATTCTTAACAAGGAAATGATTTGTAATTTTTATACATTTTTGGGAGATTTGAATAACATAACCATGCTCCTTACTTCTAAATGTTCTTGGAAGTTGTTTCTAAGGGTGTGAAAACGGGTAAACCCTGTCTGGGGACACCTTAGTTATCAAAGGGACAGAGCCTCGGATGGGAAGGACATTGAGGTTAGCATGGTCATTCAGAGGCCAGACAGCCAGTAAATCATTTGAGAAGGAATTAAAAGTTCAAAGGGCAGGAGAGAATTCTTTGGGTGACCTCATAGGTGCTTGAAAAATCAAAGGGCTAGCTGATGTGCTTTTATGTATTGAAGGCTGGTTTGAAAGGGCAAGAGAATGGAAATTCACAATAGGAAATTGGCATTGCAGTTTTTAAGTCCTTGGGAGCCTTAACTTTGGGCTGGAGATGATCAAAGTTGCCATTAAGTAAGTATCTTTTGTGTTCTTTAAATTATGCATGGGTATTCATTATAACGTCATGGTCATCACTGCCATAAATTAAGTCATATTGGGCCTATTTCACAGATGAAAAAAGTGAGGTCCAGAGAGGCGAAGCATTAGTCTTAAGATAAAGCAAATTAGAGCTAGAATGTGAAGCCACCTTTAACTGCCTCCAAATCATATGCTTGGTTCATTATACCCTGCAGTTTTGTTTCCGAGATCCCATTTTTATACTTCATATTATCTTTCCACTCCCACTGTGTACTGTGCTCTGACTATGTTGTTTGCATCTTAACATTGGACAAAGTTGAGTCTCACACACTCTTTTAAAGTTTTCCTGGGAAGTTCATCTAAAACACAAATTAGACACTCAGGAAAAATATACAGTGCATGAGAGGTACTTGGTCATGTCCCTATTCTAAGATACAGACATGGAGGGAGAAAATATTAACTTCCCAAAATTCATTCAGTCAGTAACTGGCAGAGTTAGTATTCAAAATTTGATTTTTCTGTTTTTGAGAGTTCCCGTTCTTCCTAAATGTTCCTGTTGTTTCTCAAACTGAGAAGGGAATAAGCAGTAAACAAACACTGGGTTTGGACTTCTTGGTCCCTACAGATCTATCCTTTTTGCCAAGAAATATGAAATGAAGAATAGCCTCCTTCCTTCCTTTGCTTCCTTCCTCCCCATTCCCCAGCTTCTTACTGGGGGAAGTTTATGTGTTCAAATTTTTGTCTTGGAGGAGGGATAAATTATCATTGACAAAAATTTTTAAAAATATGAACAGATGCATCTCACTTCATCCCTACCCTAAACCACCTAAGTTTTTTTCCCACAGGCAACTGCTGTTACCAGTTCCTTATGTACCTTGTGTGGGCTCATATACATATGTGTGTGTTCAGTGGTTCTATTTTCTTCTTGTCCATGTGTTCCTTATTCCTCATTCCTCTCCAGTGTGACTTTAACTGATGTCTACTTGAAGGCCAAAGTTACTGTCATTTCTCCTATCTTCATTGTTTTCTCTGTACATGGCTTAGGCTGCTTACTATGAAAAGACAGAGAATTTCCTGCACGCTTTCATCTCCTATCTCTCCAGTTTTATTTCTCCAACTGAATTTATTTTTATTGTACCTTTTTAGACTATCTCTATATATACAAAAGGTAGCATAGTGAAAATCTTTGGTGCCTTTTGCTTTTCACATGAATATCCTGGAGGTCTTTATCAGTATATAGAGAGCCACCTCCGTTTAAAAACAACTATTATCTGGAATTATTTAACCAATCCTTAATGTCTTTTAGCATTGGCATTGTTTCCACTATACTACTTTGACTTGATTGTCCCCAAAATCCTGTTGTCAGCATGGTTTCTGTAGCACTGAGTGGACTTGTTTTTCCACCCTCTCGCTGTTTTCTCAATACTCTCTATGGATCAAGAATCAGGGTTTAGTCTCTGCATGCTTGCCTCTGTCTCTCTGTGTCCCTTCCTTTCATCTTAAAGTTACCATTAACTAAAGTTTATACTTTTTTTAGAGACAGGGTTTCTATGTGCATCTCTGGTTGTACTGTAACTCACTCTGTAGACCAGGCTGGCCTCAAACTCACAGCGATGCCTCTGCCTTTGCCTCCCCAAGTGCTGGGATTAAAGGCATGTGTCACCATAGCCCAGTTAAGTTTATACATTTTAAATTATTTCTCTTTTACTCAAGAAAGTGAGAAATCTCATGACTCCCAAATCCCTAGTCTTTACCTTTTCAATTATCTCGTGGAGAGTGTTTACTTGAATATTATTTCTTTTTTCCTCATATGAGCCCTCAATATGTCTAAAACAGAACTTATTATCGTCTGCTTACAGAAGTGCTTTAGTCCTTGGCCTCTTCACCTCCCACTCAGTTAGATTGAGATCTTGGAGTCACCACTTACTCATCCCTATATCAGGTTAATTATCACATCCTGTCAAGTCTTTCTTCCTTCAAAATAGCCCTTTCAGTTCTTGCTCCTCCCACCCCTTCCCCTCAAGCCCTTGTTACTTTATGTCTGGATTTTTGGACTGCCGGCTGTTTTCCCTGTTTCTAGGCTCACCCCTTTTAATGTATCCTATAAGTCACTTCCTGTATTTGAGAAATTTAGTGATCCTTGTCTGTACAAGGAAGCTGGACTCAATGGTTGATGTCCGAGGTCCTTACCTCCAACATTTCCTTCAGCAATTGTTGAAATATTGTATCTCAGCCTCCCACTGTTACCACTCCCAATGTTGTCTCTTTTCTCTTCAGTGCTTGTTGTGATTACATGCTCCTAGCAGTGTCTTGCATGTAGCTTTTCTCCACATTTCTTCCTAGAATCGTTACCTAAACCAACTCACATACAAACGGTCTTAGAGGAAGGCCATACACACTGAGCAAGACTGACCCCTGCCTGAGCACCATTCCTAGCACTCCGGAATTTGCTTGGCTGTGTTCCTCTCGCACACTCCCACTAATGAGAAGCACTCTTCAACAAGCCAGGGCTTTGAATTGTTTCATGGCTATGGTTGTTATACATCTTCTTCTAATACAAACTGACACCTATTGATCTGCTTTCACAATACTGGATTGTTTCCCATAGTTATTGCTATGTATTGCTAGCTCCAAATGTGACAACTCACAATTTCCCGAACATGCTGAATATTTTGCTCATTACAGGATCTCAAATACATTTCTAATCCCACCTACCTAACTAAATTCAACCTAACTTGAGAGCCATCACAAACAATACTTCTTATATTCTATGTACTGTCATTTGATTCTTTCTTCTACTAAATCCTGCAAAGCTTTCCCTACTTTTCTTCAGATGCTCACCATGTTCTTTTTCATACTTTTTCTGTTCATTAAATGATGTTTTATGGTGCCAGGGGTGGAACCCAGGGCCTATATACCCAGAGCAAAATGAGGAAAAACATAAAAAGGAAATATTATATTACATTGTTTATCTGCAGTTGGATCTTTTCTCTTCCTTGCTCTTAACATTTATTATTATACTTTATAGAAACTGATAAAAAAATTGTGCTTTTGAAAGTATATCTGTGTTTTTGCCCAATCTACAGACTGGATTTTCTGTGTGTTGGGAGAGGGAGAGACAGAGATAGAGGCAGAGAGAGGCAGACAGACAGATAGAGAGATGTGTGGTGTGATATGGTGGTATCTTTTGGAGAAGTAAACTTTGTCTTTTATGCTAAAAAAAAACCTCTAGATTTCTGTATCCTACAGAACTTCTTCCTCTCCTGTTTCATCCCTTGTCTTTTCCCATTTCCATGCTTCTCTCCCACACATGCACTATGAACAGTGACTGTGGCTTCCCATGTGTATTTTGTAAATGGCTTCTATCTGAAGTTGGCCAGTCTCTTAGGTTGAATGAGATCTGCTTATCTAGTATATTAAACAAAAATATGATTTACTACCCAGACAGACAGGCCAATTCAATGGGTAACATATCGTTCTCTAAGGACCATGATACTACTGTTAATTCCCTGTGCGTACCAATTTAATTGCATTTCAGAAGTCAATAAATATTTAAGTAGTTCCAGTTGCAGCATTCCAGTTCAGTAAGTATTAACTATAAATCACTAGTGGGTACTTACAATTTTCTGTTGATGGATTGGCTGGTATTTTACGTGAATATAAGTAACATACCTAAAGTATTCTAGTTTGGTCCTGTAAAGTAAAATTGTGTTCTTGATTTCTCTTTCTGGCCCCATGTTTATGTCAACCCCACCCCATCCTACCCTGGGCAATTTTCACAGGGCCCCCCTTTCTTATCCCTTTACATATTTCATCAGACTCTTTAAGGGACTGGTTGTGATTATTACTGAGCCATATGGGAACCACACATTTTAGTTTTTCCTCTACTGTCTGGAGTAAAAAAGCAGAAAGATTACTTTTTAACTATTGAAAGGCTTAGGATCAGGTAGCCTCATCTTAATTTCATTATCCAAGAAAGCCAAAGCTAGTAACCTTCTTCTCTATTTTCATTCAGCTGACACCTGAATCCGTTTCACCAAATGGCTAATACTAGTTACTGAGGTACATATTACTATGCAGCTTTTATGACCCGGTGTGTTTTTAACTAACAATATTCTGTATTAGAAGGTCCTGGGAGTCATTATAAATAGTTGCCTCTTGAAGACTGGATTGTGCCTTCTGGGTAACATTTGAATACAAAATATGGGCACTGATGTCTTTTAATCTTTATTTTTTCATTCTTTCAATTCAGAACGTATATTTGTGGTAATCAGCTTTCATAAGAAATACATGGGAAAATCAAATTACAGAGAGCAAAGGTCACAGTATTAGGAGTTTAATCTGTATTTGTTGGTCCTATTGTTTTAGACCAATGGTGACACACCACAAAAGTAGCTCTTGGTGAACTGGCCAAGATATATGTGTGTGTGTGTGTGTGTGTGTGTGTGTGTGTGTGTGTGTTCTGAATGTATAAGAGGGAGATAAGGAGGTGATGG